TTGCTTTTTTGAGGTTTGTGAGTCGGGGTCCCCCTGTCCCCCCGGCGGCCTGGAAACTCACTATGTGGCCCAGGCTGGCCACAAACTCACAGAGATCCGCCTGCCTCTGCCTCCAGAGTGCTCGGATAAAAGCCGTGCGCCACCACGCCCGGCTTCAACTCAACTTTTAATCAGTGTTTCAAGCATACAAAAATAAGTACGCATGTTATCAGGAGTAGAGGTCTGGGCCAGCGTTTTTAGGTTCTTGGCTTCTTTTTCAGGAAATTGAAATAAAGACGGCACACAGATTGCAAAAGCAGCAAGGAAACTTCAAAGCAAAGCAGTAGCACAGGTTAGAAAGAAATACATTGTCAAGATTGACAGCAGGCCACATGGCTGAGGTGTGCACAACCCAGTTACTGCCTGGAGGCTCTTTCTATGGAGTCTAAAACAAGGTGTTAGGGGTGAGGTATGAACGATTCTCTATTTTGATTGACAGGCTTAGATAACATAAGCTCTTTGCCCACTGGGCATGTCCCTTTCCAAAATGCACCTGATTTTAATCATATGCATGCTTAATTATGCATAGGCATAAAGCAGTAAATAAGGCATTCTCCCTAAAAGCTTATTTAGAGGGCACAATTTGTTGTATTGGACATAGAGCTGAAACCAGTTCAGAGGGAATCAGTCTTCCTACTGTCCTATTGGAATGATTTCATAGAATCTAAGTTTGATGGTCATTAAGGGGAGGATAAACTTATTCCATTGTTCAATTGGATGTGCATGCAACTCAATGCAGGTGGAGTCCTAAGTTACTAATAGGTTGCTAGGTCCATTGTTTGAAGTCAGGTGTATGTGCATGGTAGTGCAGATAAAGTTCTCAGGCTGCCAAACACATTATTAGAAGAGGAATGTGAGCCAGGTGTGGTGGTGCATACCTTTAATCCCAGCACTCTGGAGACAGGGGCAGAGGCCAGCCTTGTCTAATAGGGAGGCCAGATCGGTTGGGGCTACAAAGGGACCCTTTCAAAAAGAAGGGCCAGGGAGGGGGGGAGACGACGACGACGATGATGATGTGTGTGCATAACTCAAACCAAGTAGAGTCCCAGGCTGCCAAACTATTCCCTCTTCTTGTCTGCCTCATATAGAACCATGGAATTGAACACAGCAGTGTCCAATTACTTCCAAGAAATAAAACATTTCTGATGTTCTTTTAAAAATTTTATTGCTTTTATTCTATATACGTATGAGTGTATTGCCTGTACGCATGTAAGTGCAACACGTGTACAATGCCCATGGAGGCCAGAGAGGATGTTGGACAGACGGTTGTTAGCCGCCATGTGGGTGCTGGGAATTGACGTGGGTCCTCTGCAAGAGCAGCTGATGCTCTTAACCACTGAGCCATCTCTTCAGCCCCCACTCCTGATGGTTTTTTAGGTCCTCTGTGCACTGTCTTCTAGATCCCACTCCAGGTCATGTTTGCCTTTTAGTTCTTGAACTTGAACAGCACTGTGGGGAGACTATGCGGCCTGTGGCTGAGCAGTTCCTGAACTGTGGGATGGTGCCCACTTGCCATCTATAGTGCAGTGCTGCCACACCTCCCTGGATCTTTGCAGAGTCCTTTTTTCCCCAACTTTGCCTCCCTAATGAGTGCGAGTATTGGGTCCTTTCTGCTTGATTTCCATTACATTGCTCCCATATGTTCCGAAGCTGTTCCATGTCCCTTTCCAGGATTGCCCGTTCCTATCCTTTGGGCTTTAATTAAAGCTGTTTATAAATTCTGGGCCAAATTCCTTCTTGGCTACTTATATACCTGCCAAATTCCTTCTCCAAGTTTAAAATTTGTTTCTACTTTGCTTATGACATCTTTTATGTACAAAAGAGTTTTTTTAAAAAATATTTTAACGTAGCCAGATGTATCCGTCTTTATTTATGGTTTGTCTTTCTGGTGTTGGTCTATCAAATCTTTTCCTTCTCTGAGATCCTAAGAACATTCTCTTTCATTTTCTTCCAGCACTTTTCAGGACATGCTTTGCCCTCTCTAGCTCTTGAATCCATTTTAACAGAGTTTGGTGTAGACAGTTAGCTTGTTTTTTTCCATATAGATAGCTGAGCTTTCAAATGCTGTTCCCTTTTCTCCACTTTGTGCTCTGAGACAAGGTCTCAAACCACGCGGATCCAGGATCCTCCAGCCACAGCCTCCCAAGTGCTGGCATTACAGGCATGCACTGCTGCCCAAACCCAGCTCTAGTGCTGTTTCTAAACATCCTTTTTTTCTCCTCAATTTGAAATGACATCTCTGCTCCATACAAATGTCCATATATGAGAAGACCTGTTTCTGGAATCTTCTCTATCTCTCCCTGTGCTATGTACACATGTGTGGCCTGATGTTGAAGTCAGGAATCATCCACTATGGCTCTTCCACTTTACTCAAAGGAGACAGGCTCTCTCAATCAAACCCAGAGTGGCTACTATCACTAGCCAGCTTTCTCTGGGGGTGCCCTGTCTCTGCCCTCCAAGGATGGAATTACAGGTGACAGTCATGCCCACTGGCATTTGTGTGGGTTCTGGGGATCCAAACTCTGGTTCTCATACTCACATAGCAAGTGCTTAACCACTGAGCCAGCTCCTGTGCCTTGAACACCTTTGCAGAGAGGTTCTTTTTTTTTTTTAAACAAGTTTGTTTATTGTAGTGATAGATATTTTATGTCCTTTCTTATTGTCATTAGATGTATCAAATTACTGAAAGAGATGTGTTAAATTCTCCTTTTGTGACTCTGGAATTTCCCATTGATCTTTGAGTTTTATCCATTTTTGCTTCATCTAATTTTTTTTAAACATGGGGCATCAAGTATTCCCAGGCTGGCCTCAAACTCACTACATAGCTAAGAATGACCTTGAATTTCTGTTTTCCAAATGACTGCCTGCCCACATTTTAGTAAGTAGATTTGCTTTCATAAGTTCTAAAATAAGTAACTTTTGCCACCCTTATGTCCAAAACACCTGCTTGCCTGAATTATACCCCATCTCACACATTGTGATAGCATATAGTGGCTGGTGTATTCATGCACCTGGTTTTTATACCCCCACACAATGAGTCTTTATTAAATAATACATATTAAATACAATGCCTCTGTTTCTTTGGGGGGGTCACTTTCTTTGGAAGTATGCTCCAAATTCTTTTAGCAAAGATGTTTGTGTTAGGCTGCGCATGGTGGCACATGTCTTTAATCCCAGTACTCCAGAGGCAGAGACAGGTGGATCTCTGTGAGATCCAGTCTGCTCTCCACAGTGAGTTCAGGCCAGCTGTGGCTACAGGG